ATGCGCACGCGCAGAGCCGGCCTCGGCCAGCACCTGGCGGCCGGGAACCTGCACACCCGCGGAAGACGGGCCCGGGTCAGCCGGGGTGCCGGCCAGCTGCCCGGACGTGGCGTGCACTGTGTCACAGACAGCCTTGTAGGCACCGGGGCGAGAGCGGGGGTCCCCCATGCGTGACTACCTACGTGTTCTGCTGCAGGCGATGGGCACATTGCCTGATGGGTGGGGCGCCCTCCCCATCCCTGCCGTGCTCCCCAAGACCAGGCCTTATCATCTGACGAGTGCCTACAACTTAGGTGACAAAAGAACCTCCCTCTCGAGGGCTTCCTCACCACGTCCTTCCAGCGTGCTTCCCTGTGTACATTTATGGACCCAAGTCTGTGGGTGTGACACTAAGGTGCCCCGTGAGCTCACCGGGCCCACACTCCTTGTTCTCTACTGTCCCCCTCCTGAAGTCCTGTAGTGTGAAAAGGTAAACAAGGATATTCAAAGAAAATTTTAAAATCTATAGCTTTTATCAACCACAGGGTGGACATCCACCGTGGCATATGTCGTCAGCCTGTGAAAACTTGCAGTGGCTGCACCTCAGACAGCAGTCGCAGCTCCCAAAACCCTGGCGCCCCAGAACTGTGGTGCCTAGAGACCCCGCACAGGCCCTCGCAGGGCCCAGGACGCAGACCCGGCAAGGCGGGTGTCCTCACACCTCGGCACATGCCCAGCCAGCAGCAGGCTGGACCTGGGCCCACACAGAGCCCATCCTGCAGGGAGGCAGTGACCTGCGGGGTCATGGGCTGTCTAGCAGTCATGCTGCCGGCCGGGGGACACGTCCTAACTAGGCCTCAGCTCCAACCCCAAAGCCTCACCTGAGCTATCCAAATAAAGCAGCAGGTAGACTTGGCTGAGACAGAGGACATCAGCCCATCTGCAGGTGGAGAATGGCGTCTCCTCCTCCCGCCTCAGGTTGTGACTAACGGGCAAGGACGGATGTGGCCCACCAGAAACACCCTGCCCTGGGACCTGAAACGCGAGTGCATCCTTGCACAGACACACACAGAGATGTGTGTGCACACTGATAGTGCTTTCTAAGGTGAAAAACACACAGATTGATTTTAGCTTGAAAGAAGACATCGAAGGGAAAAGACGAAGGGAAAAGACAAAGGGACTTGTTAGAATGTGCATGAATGTGAGTGAGTGAGCAGGTGGGCATGAGAGTGAGAGAGCAGATGGGTGTGAGTGAACAGGTGTGCATGAGTGTGAGTGAGCAGGTTTGCATGAGTGTGAGTGAACAGGTGTACATGAGTGGGAGTGAGTGAACAGGTGTACATGAGTGGGAGTGAGTGAACAGGTGTACATGAGTGGGAGTGAGTGAACAGGTGTACATGAGTGAACAGGTGTGCATGAGTGTGAGTGAACAGGTGTGCGTGAGTGTGAGTGAACAGGTGTGCGTGACTGTGAGTGAACAGGTGGGCGTGAGTGAATGGGTATACATGAGTATGAGTGAACAGGTGTGCACTAGAGTGAGTGAACAGGTGTGTGTGTGAGTGAGTGAGCAGGTATGCATGAGTGTGAGTGAGTGAACAGGTGTGCATGAGTGTGAGTGAGTGAGCAGGTATGCATGAGTGTGAGTGAACAGGTGTCCATGAGTGTGAGTGAACAAGTGTGCGTGAGTGTGAGTGAGCGAGCAGGTGTGCATGAGTGTGAGTGAGTGAACAGGTGGGTGTGAGTGAGTGAACAGGTGTGCATGAGTGTGAGTGAGCAGGTATACAAGAGTGTGAGTGAGTGAGCAGATGTACATGAATGAGTGAACAGGTGTCCATGAGTGTGAGTGAGCATGTATGCATGAGAGTGAGTGAGCAGGTATGCATGAGTGTGAGTGAACAGGTATACATGAGTGTGAGTGAGTGAACAGGTGTGCATGAGTAAGTGAACAGATATGCATGAGAGTGAATGAGCAGGTATGCATGAGTGTGAGTGAACAGGTATGCATGAGTGTGAGTGAGCAGGTGTTCATGAGTGTGAGTGAACAGGTGTGCATGAATGTTAGTGAGTGAGCAGGTGTGCGTGAGTGAACAGGTGTGCATGAGTGTGAGTGAGCGATCAGGGGTGGGGGTGAGCAGTGTAAGTATACGTGTTCTGTGCTGGGGGGGAGATGTGTCCTGACACAAGGGATGGTAAGGATGGCACATGGATGATGGGAATTTTGCAGGAACTACACCTGAAAGGTAAAAGCATGCCCTGTACAAAAAGGAAGAGCTGTGTAAAATATATATAAGCTAAAATTATAAAATTAAGACTTCTGCGTTCAGCACACACTTTTTTCCAAGCCCAGAACAGTGCACATGCAATTCACTGCTTTACCTCTACCTCTCAGTAATAGATTTCATTCTTCCAGGAATAACCCAACGTTGACAGCAGGGTGAGTGTGACCCTAACAGGAATAAAAGACTCAATTTAACTTCATCAGGAGTGGGGTGGGGAGACACTAGGTTTTTTTTAAGTTGTGTCTAGAACATTCTATTCAGAGTGAAATAAATGATCCTCATAGATTGAAGCCTCAAGGTCAGGCCACTCCCAAGGAGGCAGGACTGACCCAAGGGAAGGGACAGTCAGCCACTCCCTGCCCACAGGGACGTCACTCAGCAATCACTTTTCTTTTCTGATGAGCCCACTCTGAGCCTCATTCACCTCAGAACAGCTCTCAGGCCGCTGGGATCAGCTTCCGAGGCAGGGCCAGCATTCTCTCACCCCTGTGCCCCAACAACCACACTGCACCCTGGGGAGGGGCCACCCAACGTCCTTCCCACGGAACAGGAGAGTGGGCGGCCCAGGACGAAATCCCACCCCTGGAAGCAGCGCCTGGCTCCAGCTGAAGAAACATGAGCCCCGCCCCTTCTATGTCTTGAAAAGCAAACAGGGCCCAGGTCACCCAGACAGAGTAAGACACAAAACACTTTCACTTCTCTGACAGACCCGTCACTGCCCCGGAACCC